GGTGAAGTCAATCAGGTAGGTGAAATTTGAATATTTCCCTTTAATCTGAAACGATTCAGAACCCTTTCTTTAATCTAAAACGGTTCAGATATCGTAGAAAAAACAAGATAGCTAACAAATTTGTTTCGAGGTTTATCCTGCGGTCTTAACGAGTTTGGTAAATCTCAGAGTGGACAATATTGTATAACCGAAATTGTCGTGAAAGTAATTGTGGTTACGGATTTTGTCTCATAATTTTGATTATGTCCGATAACAAAATCAAAAATAAAAAAGAATTATTTTTCTGTTTAGTTGAATTTTTTATTTCGTATTTGAAATCAATTGTAATTTTAATTTTGTCACGTAATAAAATTATTTGATATGAATCATGGGAAAATAACAACTTTGTTACTGAATGGTTTCAGAATTTTAGTTCATGACTAAATTTTGTTGATTAAATAAATCAAAATTTGATTTTGGTTTATTGTTGGAATTATTAATTTCACGTTAAACGGAATAATGGGTAATCTTAGATATTCACCTAATTTGTGATTTGGAACATTTGTTCCTACTCAAACTTTGAATTTAAATTCAACGGTGTTGATGGTTGTAAGCCATAATGAGGATAGAATTTCATGATATGACAACATATGATGTTGTTTTATTTGGTCATGTTGAATTTGATCAAATATCAGATGATCCTCTTATCATTAGAGATGATGAGGTGAATGTTGTTACTGCATTCATAGCTTTTAAAATATGGAAGTATAATGAGTTCCTATATTGGAAATACATCAATAATGTATTATCGGATACACTATAAAAGGTGTACAATATCCATAAAAGAAATATCGATAACATTAGATCATATATATGAAACGAAAGATGCAGGTACTAATGGACTGTTAGTGACTAAACTCTTAAAATTCTTAATAATGGCATAGAAGAGGGATAATAAATACTTTATTATCTTCATTGGTGATAGCAAAACTATTTCTATGTATATTTACTAAAAGAGCAAAAGCGAAGTTATAGAGAAATTTGTTTCCTATAAACATAAAGTTGAAACCCAACTTAATAAATATTTTAAGATGGTAATAAGTTATAGTGATGGTAAAATGTTAACCCATTATGCACAACATGATATTATTCATGAAATGACATCATTATATTCTCCTAAAATAAATGGAGTAGCAAAGCATAAGAATTGAACAATGAAAACAATGCTAAGAAGTTTTGAGTTATCATAGAACATGGGGAGGGGAGAAGTTGTCATGTCAACTAATTATCTTTTAAATAAGATCCCCATGAAAGAAAAAGGGAAAGTCACCATATGAGTTATGAAAAGTTTAAAAAATTGTGTCATACAAACACTTAAAAATGTGGGGGTGTCTTGAGAAGGTAATGACCACATTACCAAAATAAATAAAAATAGATCATAAATGATGAATTGTATTTTCTTTGGCTATCGTATTATCTTACAAGGATATATCGATACTAGTTAGAATTTAATATTCAAGATATCAACGACACAAGTGAATATGTTTCGTATTGGGAGGAGAATCCATGTCATGGAAATCCTTATAAAAGGGTTATAACCAGATAAGTCTGGAGAATAAGTTAAATGGCTTTGAAATTTCTTGGAGGATATTCTTGAATGGCTGAAACATGTGCCCACAATATGCATATACTTTGACTATCATATAATTTCAAGTATAATGGTAAGTTGAGACATATGAATCGTCAGCATAATACCTTAGACAATTGATCTCGAATTAAGTCATCTATGTTGATTTTGTGAGATCAAAGGATAACAGTACGGATCTACTAACCAAAGGGTTAAATTGAGATCAAGTTAAGAGAACATCAAAAGGAATGCGACTAAAACCCATGAAATTTAAAGGCTTTATGTGAAGGAAAACCCTACATTAGAGATCCCAAGATCTAGGTTTAAAAGGACAACCTAATTGCATAAACCATGTACAACCAAGTCCGTTCTTATGATGTAAACAGTGATCAAAATGATATAGGTAAGCAAGGCTTTTAATGACCATTGTGTGTTGCGGTGAGCCAAGCAGCATAAGTCACCTATGTGAGAGTGAAGTGGGGTCGCTTCAAGGAGACTATTGGGTATAGTTCTTTCAAACTCTTGTAGAACCAGACGTTGTCCATGGCTTTAAGGACATACCAATGAGAACTAAATTATTGTCAGAGGGGTAGTTGTGTAAAGTATGTCATCGTTTACACAAACGAAAGAACAGTTCAAGGACATCGTGTCTACTGTTTAACCAGTAAAGTAAATATACTTTCACAAGGGAAGGTTCAAAGGAGGACACTTACCTATCTTATGCAACTATCTATTATAGAAGCTATCGATTATAAAATAATCAATTTCATTAATGTGTGGGATTGTTGGAAAAAGGGATGAATTTAACTGATGAATTTAATATTTATATTAAATTTCATATTTCTTTTGAATATTGCAAATTAAAATATATATTTAATTTGAATATTAGTAGGATGATTACTCTTTGAATATGTAAATTTAAAAAAATATTTGTTTTCTTTTTAACTTTGAATATTAAAGACAAACTTTTGAATATTTCAAATTAAAATAATATCTATTTAAGTTTCAATGTTAAAAGGAGTTTATATTTTCAATATTTCAAATTGAAAGATATTATTTCATGTTTACATTTGAATATTTAAATATATCTGATTGGATTAAATCTCTCTTGAAATTCTCCTATACATAGTGAGTTAACCTGCTAGGTTAAACACAAGTTTCACAAGTTTTCATCTAAGATTTCAAGAACTTCTCTTTTCTTGAAAAAGTTTTCTTCATTAGTTTTCCGGTGATAGTCGAAAGCAAAGATAGTTCATGATTTCTACTGTTGTGCTACTGTAGCTGATCATCTAGTTGTTCTATCATGGGATATAGATGACCAACAAACTCGAGCACCAAATCAGTGGTTGAAAATTTGTCTGAACGAAACTGTGTAGCGATATGCCTCGAATGTTTTCGATCAATATATCAAAATAAAATGAGTATTTTTATTTCAATTTATTTTTACCTTATCTTCTAAAAAATTTAACCTTTTTTGGTTTATTTTTATCATGATTGATTTCGTCTCAAAATATTATTTCGGATAACAATCTCAAGATATAGTAAACTCATTCTATCCCTTTATATATTTGATTCTTAAATTTGATATTTCATTGTTATTTTTTATATTATTATCAGATTATAACATTATTTTTCTAACAATATATACATATAGTTGCATTAGTACACGACTGAACTATCAAATTTGGTGTTTTGCTCCACTATAGTAGTAATGTATATTACGCTATCCACAATTATTTGGGTCATATCAGGTTTAATAGATAATCTAAGTTTGAATAATTGGATTCAAATCGTTTTAATTTTAAAATCAGCTTTTGAATATCTATATAAACCTGTCAATCTAAATTCAAATAATTTAAATTTTCTGTTGGATACATCTATATTTTCAACTTTGAATTTATAAGAATTCAGAACATGACATACTTATTTGGTTTATAACTTGGGTACGGTAATGTCTATATAAATTGATTCATCGAACCATTAGATGACAGTTGGTGGATCCCATTGACCAGTTGAGGAGGACTAGCACTTGGATAGAAAAGAAAGAAAAAATAGTGGAGAATACAAGTCAAACAATTATTTGGATAAGCCAAAAGATTTTTGGACATCTTATAAAAATACATCCAAATTTGTTCTACCCTATGCCTTTGATTTTAGCGTGCAATAATCAAGACAATTGCAAAATTTAATATTGGAGAGTGAATTTATAACATTTTTAAGGAAAATAAATTTATAAAAAAATTAATAAGACGAAAATAAATTATCAATAAAAATATATTAAAAAAAACCAAAAATTAAAAAAAAAAACAATTACCTCACTCGTTTCTCTTGATTCATCCCTGATAATAACAACATGAATACATACTTCTTGCAAGATATGTAAAATTTTGAAACGGCAGTAATTAGTTGAAATTTTATATTAGAAATAAATCTAAGGGTAAAGTAGACAAATGTTCCATCAACTATAGGATATTACTTTGTTGACTCTCTAAACTTTAATAAATTACAAAATAATTCTCAAATAATTGGACATTGTTTTGTTGAGTCACTCAACTATTTAAATGTTTCAAACTCATCATTTTCTGTTAAAAAATTGACAACCATATAAGTTGGTTGTTAACTTACTGTCTGAAATATGATAAAATATAATCTTATAATACTTTGAGTTATTTTTTTAATCGACTCTTCATTTACATTATGTAGTCAAGTCAGTGTTTAAAACATTATGTTATCGAGTTAATGCTTGAAAACAACAACGATACTGGTAGACATCATTAAAATATAATTTTATCATATCCCAATAACGAGTTAACGTTCAATTCATATATTACTTATTTTTCAATAAAAAAATATGAGTTTAGAATATCTGAATAACCAAATAACCATATATAACTTTTTATAGTGATGAAACTCAATAAAATAATGTTTTATAGTCAAAAAAATTATTTTATAACTTTTAATAATCGAATGACTTAATAAAATAATATTTTATAATTATAAAATTATTTTATAACTTTTAATAATTTAATAACTCAATAAAATAACACTATATAAACATATGATTATTTGTATACTTTACCCTAAATCTAAATGGTCAATAAACAAAGACAAGTATACAGGCGCAATAGCGAGTAAAGTAACGCGCTTAAGATTTTCTGTTCTGCTTCCCTTTGAACTCATCTCATTTATTTACTCGGGGTTTAAAACAAATACATAAAATAAATGCAGTTTCCAAGTTTTCATTATGATGGGACCGTCGCCACGTCTTCCCTTGGTTTCTACTTCCCTCATTTATTTAATTAATTGTTCACACCTCTAACAAAAGTATCGCCCTTCTTTCTCTCTAGTATTTTCTCGACAATCTTGGATCATCTCCCAAACAATTTTTCATTTTAATTTCAGATTTCAATTCAAATTATTGTTATTTTTTACTTTCACTTGTTATTAAGGTGACTTTGGGCCGCACTTACACCTTATATATAATTCAAAGATTCTTAGTGATTAAGGATGCAAATCAATGTCTCAAAGGACGGAATTTGCTCGTCGGAGTCCGTTAATGGGAGTCGCGATGTTTGGAGTTGTAAAGATTCTCTTGCTTCCTCAGCTGATCATCTTGTTATCATGGTCCATGGAATCCTCGGCAGGTCCTCTCTCCATCTCAATTTTTTTTTTTATATTTTACTACTTTTATTTTAAAAGAAGATTGATATCCTTTACAATTGGATTTCAGTTTGATTTAGTTTAACATATATTGTTAATTATTTATGCTGTGTGAAAAATTATAGCCAAATTTTATTCTAGGTTTAATGTTAGTCGGTTTAACTTGAAGTAATTAAATTATAATTTGATTCTATGATTCTCTGTATTGGTGTTGGGTTTTAACTGAATATTTGCTTGTTCTTCTTCTGGTATAGCATGATCATTCATTGCGTCATTTCCGGTTCACATTGAAATTTATATTTCCCTGGTGTTAAATCATGTTATTGCCATATCTATTTACTATGTATTATCCAATATCAACATTATTACGAACTCTCCTGATATTTGTTTTGGAGTGGGTTGTATGCTTGGTTGTGCAGTTCTTCAAATTGGAAGTATGGAGCAGAACAATTTGTTAAATGGTTACCCGATAAAGTATTTGTGCATTGTAAGTAGCAATTTTTGGGCACCATTCTTTTTCAGAGAAGAACACTATCCTGTTTTGCTAGCTTTTCTGCTGCTCTTGTATATGTTTCTGCTGCTCTTGTATATGTTACTTGTTCATATCTGCTTTAGAATGTAGAGGATATTGAAACCATTAATTCATTTGTAGTGGTATCAGAAACCATTAAGTTGATTTTCTGCATTACTAAAAGGACTCTTAAAAGAAGATTTTTACTTTTGCTAGTAGGCTATCTCATTTATTGTAGTTTTGGGGGCCAGCAATGTTGATGTTTAACTTCCTGGCTGAAGTATGTCTGCTTGATTTTACTAGAATGAGTAACTTGTTCTGCAGGCAGTGAACGCAACATTGCTACACTTACTTTAGATGGTGTGGATGTAATGGGAGAACGTTTGGCAAATGAGGTTAGTACTTTTTTGTTAATACCCTATTTAAGTTGTCAAAATTCAAAATCAATTAAATTTGTCAGTTTTAATATATATTAATTGCATATTCTTATCTGCTATCAACAACAATGTTTGAATGCTAGGTCCTTGATGTAATTCAAGAAAAGCCTAATCTATGCAAGATCTCTTTTGTTGCACATTCTGTGGGAGGATTAGTGGCAAGATATGCGATTGGGAAACTCTATAGACCTCCTAAGGAAGAAGTTAAAGAGGATATATGCAGTAATGGATGCAAGGAAGAACAAAGGGGTACAATTGGTGGCTTAGAGGCTATTAACTTTGTAACTGTTGCATCTCCTCATCTTGGTTCAAGGGGCAATAAGCAGGTAACTTCTTTGTTTTAACATATGCATAACAAAGCAGTAGCCAAAACACATTATTTATTTGGACGAACCATAAAATACCTACTGGACAGGTAGAAACTGGTTTATATTTGTTTTATTGTTCAAACATTATTTCTAAAGGGTGGGATTTGAACCTTCAAGTTTATTTAATCGTAAACTCCAACTAAATATCTCTTCTACATTCATCCCCATCACCAGTTCAGGTCTAGTATTTTATTGGATTTGTGCCGTTACTTTCAAGGTAAAATGATCCTTTACAGGTACCATTTCTTTTTGGGGTGACTGCTTTTGAGAAAGCTGCAAGCTCTGTTATTCATTGGATATTTAGGAGAACAGGTCGACACCTTTTTCTTACTGATGATGATGAAGGAAAGCCTCCACTGCTTAAGCGGATGTTGGAAGATTATGAAGAGTGTTATTTCATGTTTGTTTCATTTACCTTTGTTAAATTACTGTCTTTGTGAAGTTACTTCAGATGCTTTACTTTGAGGCCTAAATTTGTAGAACAACTGAAATAGTAGTAAATTCCTTTATGCAGGACTGCATTGTGTTTATTCAAACGCCGGGTGTTGTATTCCAATGTGGGCTATGACCGTATCCTTTCTCCATGTTCTGTTCAATTTTTTTGTCACCCATTCAGATTTGTGTTAAACTTGATTCTATTTGTTTTTGTTAATAAATATTTGTAAAGATATTGTGGGCTGGAGAACCTCATCAATAAGACGGGATAGTGAACTGCCAAAGGTTTGTCATCTTTGCAAACATTTTACATTTTACTTCATAATTACAACTGTTTTGGTTAATTGATGAGAAGAATATTTATCATGTTATCAGTGGGGGGAGTCTCTGAATGAAAAGTATCCACATATAGTGTATGAAGAACACTGCAAGGCTTGTGATGTCGAATGGTGTGAAACTACTTCAACAGAGAATGATGACTCATCTGACAAGCTAGAAGGTATGCAAATTCACTTTCTGACTTGGGATGGAACATTGATTTTGCTAAGTTTAGTTTGTTGTTGATTTTCATCAGCATTCCTAGTTTACCTATTTTCTTGCACGAAATACTTTTTGCATCTACATGACTATATTGTGCTTCTCTGAATCGGGGCCTTAGCTCAAGTGTTTCATTCACCTCTCTTAGGAGGTGGGATTCCAGCTAGGCCGGTAGGAACGGATGCGGGATTTTATGCAGGGGGAGAACTTCTAAAATTTTAGGAGAGGACAAACTTATCAAATTCTATGGGGGAAAATAGATTATCAATAGAAAATACAAAGAAAAAAATATAAAATATATGATATTTTGAAAGTTTTAGAGGTGGCGGTTGGGCTGGGTTTAATTCCCAACACTAGCTATTGCTTCTTCCCTGATTCTTCTTAGGCTTTACTCTCCATTGTATCATAAAAAGAAGTTTGTGCTTCACTTCCTGTTGTGGTTTGTGCGTCACTTCCTGTTGTGGCTATCTTTGGAAGCTTATCTTTAAGACTTCAATCGACATGGCATCCAAATGGTTTTTTGTTGTTCTCAATGAATTTCCATAACTAGTTTTCTTACATGCTTGTTTTCCCTCCAATTAGCATATATTACTTTCTTTACTGTTTCCGAATTCTAGAACTTCATTAATCCAATAAATGATGTGCAGAGGAACTGTTGAGAGGCCTGTCCCGAGTTTCATGGGAAAAAATAGATGTTAGTTTTCACACCAGTAGACTGAGATTCGCTGCTCACAGTGTCATTCAGGTTTATTTTCTCCTTCTCTATTTATCTATCCATGCATATCATTCTAATGATATTATGCATGAGATCATTTATGTTGTCCAAAGCAACTGCTTGTATTGAAGCAACAAATGCTAATTTTTCAGGTGAAAGATGAATATATGCATATAGATGGTGCGGATGTCATCCAACATATGATCGATCATTTTCATACTTAAAAAGCATTGGTCTTCAGAAATATGGAGCCATATGCAGAGATACAATCTTATTTTAGGTAAAAAGCACAGATCAATTTTGCGATTTTCAGCGATTGAGATCCGAATCAGGTCCCCTAGTTGTTGATTGTAAGTCGGTTCTTGAAATCCCCCATCGATTGCTTTGTTCTGGGAAAAGAATGGGTATGACAATTGTGATTAGTTTTAGCAGTCACGAAGAAAATTTTGTTCATTCATCCATCATTTTTACGTTGTATACACGTGCGCGTTCAACAATATATAAGTATCTAAACACATCTTCTGTTGTATGTTCTAAAGTGATAATTATTCAGTAATGGATCATTTCGATTTTGCTCAACTTTCTAATGTTCGAGGAAGCTTGCTATAATTTCAGCATTGCATAGTATGTACGATTTAATCTTTTATGTGATCAAATATATCTTCAAGTAAATTTATATATACTTGATTTAAATGGTCGAATTATGTTGGTTTTGAGCCGGGTGAGTATGGGTTTGAATTCTTTATATTTTATTTTGGAACATGTTGGTTTTAAGTTTGGGTCAATTTTAACTTGGGTGGGTCATCTTGGATTTGAGAGTCGTATTTTTTGGTTCATGAATAATAGGTTATAGTTATTTTATGTTATTTTAAATTAACTTTTTATTGTATATAATATTTCAATAATTTTAATATACAACTTATCGTGTCCTCCGGACGAGTTTTATTGAATGAATGTTAATTTTGAAAGATTTAACCATTGATATGACCATTAAGGTTGTGATTTTTTATTTGAGAATTGAACTCATCAAGAAGACATAATAATTTCCATGGAAATATTGTGTTCTGATCGATTTTTTTTTCTTTGTATAAGTAAGAGTAGTTGGTTAGGATTTTATAAGAAGAGAAGAAATAGTGTAGAGATTGATGAAACAACAATGGAAAAAATGTAAATGATTTAAGGATTGATTTATGTTTTTTTCACCTTTTTGATGATTCAAACTCATCTTTAGATGATGAGTTGAATTACAACTAAATTATTTCGAATCTTCGAGGTGAAAGAAAATTGAAGGAAGTTGAAGAAGTGTTTAAAAACCAAATAAATTTAACAAAGATTTTCAATTATCAAAGGAAGTTGTAGAAAACTTGAGAAATCGGAGAAGACGAACGAATTTTTGTGAAATAAATAGTGAGAAGTTTGAAAATTTAACACTACAATATAACAAACGACTTATAGAGAAAGGTTGAAAAAATAAAGAGAAATATACGCAAAAATTATGTCTCGAGTGTAGTGAAATGATAAGTAAAAGAAATGGAGTTAAGGTATTTACTATTTAGGGTTTTAATTTAAGTTTGAAATTGTAATTAGAATATTAAAAAAAGAAATTGTAATTAGAATTAAAATGTAATTATTATATGTTTGAAATTGTAATTATAATTTATCTAAATAAAATAATGTCTTAAAGTGTATGTACCAAGAACACAATCTTATAACATATTCATAAAGTAGAAGCTTAACACTAATCAATTTATCTCAGTGGTTAACAGAATCGATGTTGTTCCTAGAAATCATAAGTTCGAGCACCAGCAGTTGTAGCAAAATGATTGGGAAAAGCTTAAATTGTAGGAGAAGTTGAAAAGCTTGTTCAAAATACATAATCAAACATAATAAAATAAACTATAACAATAGTTCATAAAACATAAAAGTAAAATATATTAATCTAGACAACTAAAAATTGTTTCATCGTTAAGAACCCATTAACAAACATCGAGGTTACTTGCTATTGGAAAATGGTGTGTCCCTTTGAGTGCTGAATTTATTCATTCGGTGAGATTCATTGTCATATGATTGTTACGTTGACCCTCATTAAAGTCTTGTGATCATCTTTCCTTAGGAATTTCAACTACAAAGTTCCTAACTTCATCACTTTATTTTCTCAAATTTTCTAGCCATGAACGGATGTTTAGTTGCAATAATTCATTCCCTGATAAAAATGAATTTAAGAATAAAATTAGAATAACACAAATGAAGCACATATAATTCATAAAAGATTAAGTATTAGTTACACATGTTTATAATTTCATTTTGGGCTTTTTTTCTTAAACTTGAGCATAGCATTAGACCTAATATGTTGGATACAATATGTTAGATATGTATAAGGAGGCGTCCATCGATTTCCCGATCTAACAATTGCTGCTAAGATTCCAAGCCCTCTATCTGATAAGATACAAACTCCATCTTATGTTATAACATGAGTATGTAAGTTGGAGAAAAAAAACTCAATATTCCTCTGTTTTGTTTTTAACAATGATGAATGCAATTGAGAAAATGTTTCTGTCACCATCTTGTGCAACAAGATGTAAGATGTGTTTGTACTGCCCATAAAGAGAAGTACCATCAACTTGAACCATTAATTTGTAAAATTGAGGCCCTTCAATAAATGACTTGAAATCCCATGATAAGCCACTAAATATCTTTTTTTCTAGGGATTAGTTCTCCTCCAAGGGTGTAAGCCAACGATATTTTGTGTCTGACAATGGTTCATAGGATGAAAATTTCCATTGCTCGCAAAAAAGCTAATAGTTCATTATATGATTTATCTCAATCACTATACAACAATATCATTGCCTTACATTTTTTTAACTTATGTCCTGTAGTAAGAAGAAATACAACCAAATTGATTATGGATGAATGCCACTAACACTCAAATGTGTATCATTGGATTTTTTAACCAAAATCTTTATGTAAGCGCATATGACATCAGAATCTAGATGTTTGTTGTTTTGTGTCCACAAGCTCATTGTATATGCGTGTTGTACTTTGAACCCTATGACCTCCCATAGCATCTTCCTTTGTAAAAGAGAAAGTGTAACTTCTAGTTACACCCTTCACGAAATGTTAATACACCTCAAAAACAACATGTTTATTATTAGATTCAACAAAGTAGAATTGGAGATGGGCATTGATACAAGACTCTTTGATTACAAATTGTGCATCATTTTTTATTTTAGATTACAACGCAACGACCAATTCACCATATCCTTCGCTTGAATAACCATAGTGGATTGTAGATAAATGAGGCATATCTAGGATTTCAGGATTCATCATAACATCATAATTAATCTCATGCATTGCAACTAGATGTTGATACTTGGACCATTCATTCTAAGGCATTTATGGTACTAATGGTGTATGGTTCCAAACATGTGAAAAATCTTTCAACCCATGCCCCTGTGAAATAGTTGCTTCCTAAAAATCATCCTCAACATCCAAACCATGGCCCTATAAAAAAAACCTCAATAACATCAGTAACATCGACATTGGCTTGTATTGTTTCATCATTCTCACTAAAGTCACCAAGGTTTTCACTAAAACTGCTCAATAGGGTTCTCAATATCATAATCACCTATTTATATCTTAACCACCTGTTTATGGTTCAATTATTAATGAGTTGGGAACATAATGACCACCTGTTGCTAGTTCAGTTGTTGATGAACTCGAAACATCTAAAGCACTTGTTGATGTGAGCACAGCTATGCGCCTTGTATCATTTTTGGTAACCTTTACTAAGGGTGTATTCGGTTCGGTTCGGTTCGGTTTTTTACCAAAAATTGAACCGAACCGAAATAAACGGTTTTTCAATATTTAAACCGAAACCGAATAGTTAAAAAACCGAAAAATCGAAACCGGTTTTTTCGGTTTGATTTGGTTCGGTTTATCGGTTTTTCAATGAAAAAATCACTTGAAACTATAATTTTTTTTACAAAAATTGCCTATTCGGTTCAAAATGGAACAAATGGGTTCCATATGGAAAACCCGAACCAAACCGAATCAAAAAAATGAAGCCTTTAAACCGAACTGAAAATAGAACCGTTTAAAGCCGAACCGAACCGAACCGAACCGAACCGAACCGAACCGAACCGTTTTACTCGGTTCGTGTCGGTTTTTCGGTTTTCTCGGTTTCGTTGCTCACCCCTAACCTTTACCAGATCATTTGATCAAGGCTATTTGTTTATGTTCAATAAGCTTCAAAAAGATCATTCAAGATTAGATCATGATGTTATGAGCAAGGTCAATTTAATGAAAGCATGTTTCAATCCAAAGGAAGAACCTTCACCATCATATATGCTGTGATAGCATGCATGGTGGTCCAATTAGTTGTTTTATTCCACATTGTTACATTTAATATGTTATAACATTGGATTGCTACATTGCAACCTTGGGGCCTTTGATTTGATTGCTTAAGGTGCTTGATTAGCATAGGAGAGGTTCTTACTAAAGATGCTTGTATGTGACATATTTGCTTGTGTTCACATTTCATAGATAAATGAATTGACATGCTTGTTTGTGTTCACATTGCAAAGATGAATGAATTGACATGCTTTCTTGTGACATGCTTGCTTGTATTCACATTGGACGAAACAGTAAAAGAAGTTAACCCATTCATCCTATTTTCTATACAATGGAGGGATACAATAGGATTAAAAGCAATAAAGGGGTCATTCATTTCACTAATACATAAATGATGGGCTTAAACAAGCATTGAATCACACACAAAAAATTTGATAAAATACATTCATCATTAAAATACATGGATGATAAAGTACTTAAAGGACAAGGAAGATTCATCCAACTTCTTCATTCATTCATTCATCTCTTAAGATACATTGATCTTTATCTGATATATTTAATCTTTTATAACCTTTCATATTATTTGTCTACCTTATATTAAGGTTATCATCCTTCATTTGTAAAATATATCATATAATCTTTTCGAAATACAAAAAATAAGTTTAATTTTGCCCCTCTTACATATCCAAGACTTATCAAGGTTTAACCTAGTGGCGTTAAATCTCTCTATCAAACTTATCAATCTATGAGTGACATTCATCCATAATTTTATATTGAAGGTTCCTATCTCTATATAGATAGTGGGTCTTGACCCATTTCCAAACTTTCATATTTATCAATTCCATTAACTATCCACCATCTAACACTATGCATTAAACAACTACTTCTGCATATTTCAATCAAAATTCCAATTCAAAGTCTCATTTGGTATCTTAATTTGATCAAGAACAAAAATGTCTCAACTTCACCTATGAAGGTAGAATCGCATCATTTAGTAATAAGAGCTACTCAATTAAGGAAAAACATGTCTCAGAATTCATTTTATCAAACCAAATTCTTCTATAAGTTGATACATTGTTAACTACCTCCGTTGTAAAAGAGAATGGACAAAATTATTTTGAGGAGGAAAAAAGAAAATTCTAAACCAAGAGTGTTAAAACGGTCTCGTGAGCTTTTTAGGGCTTTTTTCGGGAATCGATCCAACCTAATTTTGAGAACATGTAGG